TGCTTGCGGTCGTCAGGTCGGCCTGGCCAGTCGGGGGCTCCATTAGCTGTCTTAGCCACAGTGGGCCATTTTCGCCTCAAACCACATGCTAATTTTGTGCAACGGCGGGGGGGGGGTGCCGAAGGGGGGGGGGGGGGGGGGGGGGGGGGGACAAACCCGCCTGACCCCTCCATGTTGCACACATGCTGAAAGTATCTCCACACCTACTCTACAGTGCATCCTCAGAAGCGTAAAGCTTTAAGACTAATTAATACTAACGACTTGAAATGTGTTACCATCTTCCTTCCTGGGGGTGGGCTCATGGGCAGGATCAGGAGCCGGCGTTACGACAGAGTCAGGGCATCCTCACTTACCGGCCAATGGGAATCGCTGAGCTTATGCGGCTCATCCAGGGTCAGAGTGCTCAGGTCCTCAAAGCTTAGGCTGCACCTGTTGGATGCCTCGTGGTCAGTGGTGGTTGTGCCAGGGGCGACCGTGCCAGGGGCGACCGTGCCACAGTCTTGCCCACCGGCGGCCTGCAGGCCCTCATGAAGCACCTGGCTCTCTGCATGACGGAGCTCTGTCACCTGCAGAGGGTTCGAGGACACAGCACGGGGGTCTGTAAGGAACCACAATGGACACTTTCACGCACGTCCTGATCACTTCCAGCCATTTTCTTATTAGAAACAGCAAAACCACCGGTCGTCAGTCCAGTCACCCCAATCCTGGTTTCCATACTCAACGCCGTGTTAAGCATTTTAAACCCCCATTGCTCGTACATTGTCTGGACAAAAGTGTCTTCTAAATATATAAATGTGAATGTTATCACAAGCTAACTGCGCCATTCATGGCACAGAGAAAACAGCATTTTGTCCCTAAGGTCGTCTTCCATGAACGGCTTTTCCAATACTCTACTTTTTCAAGTTTACACACAAACCGTGGAAAATATAAATAAGATTTTGGTGCCTCAGCCCAACCTCAAAAAAGGCCTTGGAAACAGATATACAACGGCATTGTCCTGTGTATTCGCAGCGCTATTTGGATCAAATTACACCCAGAGAATCTTCAAAACAATCCCCAGCGTATGGAGAACCCCATTCAGGAAGGACACAGATAAGTTAAGACCAAGCCAACCAAACGCGGCCTTGATAAAGACTTGCTTTCCAACCAGTCGGATTCCCTGCGTTCGCGAGGAGAATTGGGCCCACACTGAGCGTCGACGGCAAGCACAGAGACAATAACTTTCCTTCATCTGAGTGTCAGGCGCTCTGGAGCAGATGGCCAGCCGCGTTTGGCAGCTCGGCGTTCGTTTGTATAAGCCTGAATGGAAATGTGATCAGTGCGGCTACATGTGTTACTGATTTCAACCTAGAACAGGCTGCGCTCTCAAAGAGACACGGGTTATAAAATTCAAAATATCAGGGAAACGGCATGCATATACACAGACCAGTCTCACACACACACACACACACACACACACACACACACACACACACTTCACATTGCACAATGTTTGGAGTCGAGATGCATCTTTAAAGACGAGTCGTCGTTTGTTCTCGTCCGTGTCTCTCAGCTCACCATTTCCTTGAAGAGATGCCAGTCGCCGAAATTCATGTCCATCTCCTTCTTAAGCTCGTCCAGATTGCACTGGGACAGCACTCTGCCATTGATGTTGGCCTGGGATGGAAAAGTGGGTCATTATATTTTTTTCAGATGACGACACGGCTGGATGACACTGTTCACGATGACCCTTGGCAACAGAGTGTGACACCACTGCGCATGCCAAGGACATCCCTAGGTCACGGGTAGAACTGGAGGCAAACCAGACAGTTGCAGAATGACATTAAATTACAGGAAACTGGAAACTGACTGTCACGTGACAAACACACACAAAACCTGTCACATGACAAACTCACACCAAATTCCCTCCCCAGCCCACCGGGCCACACCTTCATTACGGTGGCCAAGTACTGCACCAACATGGTTGGGTCGATGCCCTCGACCTGCTGGAGTCGCTCACACACACAGTCCGTCGTCATGGAGCTGAGTGGGATGGTGGATGGGCCAGGGGGGGCCATGGCGGAATCCTATCCGACGGAGCCGGGACCGGAAAACAGGATTGCATAGTCAGTGGGTGGTGGTGGGGGGGGGGGGTTTCCCAGAAACCTGCTTGCTGGAGCTTGAACATTAAATTAAAACCAGGGACGATTTCGCTGGAAGAGAGGTTAGATTTCACATCACATTAAGCACAGCACGCTCTCCTAGGCCGGACCAACATTTGATGATTTTCCTTTGCGATTGTGCGGCAGATTGCTTTGCCCGACATCTCACCATGCTAATAGCTACACACTAGCTGCTACATGCTAACAGCTACATGCTAACTGCTACATGCCAAATGCTACACGCTAACCATGTTGACTCGGGGTATGCTGATAGCGGCAGCTAATGCCTGCTAACCGAGGTGCTAGCAGCTAGCCTGACACCTCCCATCCTCCCAGCTAACCTCAACCCAGACTAAAGTCTGCCTACCACTCGGTGTCAATTAATAATGGGCTCATAATTTATCCATTTCGATGTCACTTGACAGCAGCCATTATCTCGGCGGTGGGTGAGGACGAGCGGCGATGTGAGAGGAGTCGAAACTCCTCGCTCCCATTTAGTGGCGGTGACCTCGATTAATTTGGTGAATAAAAAAAAATGAATAAATTACAAAGGAAAAAAAATGTATTGAATAAGTATCAGAATAAAGAGACAATGACTGAAATGTCATGTGAGTGATAGCATGGTCCGGGTTGGGGGAGGAGCACAGCTCCTTTAGCCACGCCGGTAGGTTTCTCGTCGTGGCCTGTTAGAGGACATCGACGTGGGGGGGTTCACTGGGGGCCACGGGGGCGTCCTCTGATATTACACTTACGTGCTGCGCCTGAGAAGATTATTAGCTTGCTTGTCTTTATTTAAACGGCCTCAGAGAAAGCAGTTTATCTTCCAAATAAAAGCGACCGAGGTTTACCCACAAACTAAGGTGCGAATATCCTGACGCTGAGCTCAGAACAGGCCTGGAAACACCGGACCAGCCTTAAATTTACTCTTTATTTAGGAGACACTTTTACCCAGAGTAATGTATAATTTTGGGGTGAAATAACTCTGGAGTAGTTAGTGGTTTAAAGGCGTTGCTCAGGGACCCAGTGGTGACATCACTCTGCCGATCCCGTTATTCAAACTGGCGACCTTTCTTTCACTGGCACTTCATCCTAACCCACTGAACCATACTGGCCCCCCAGTTTGCCAAATATGTCAGTCACATTAAATTATTCCCTAAATCTCACCTGTCCTGTAGGGGTCAGTATCCCTCACAGTCACACTTGGAGTTTTCATGCAGTATGGTGGCTTTCCTGACATTCATCACTCTCTCGCCACACACAAAATGGCGCTAAGGTCTAAATGGCGGAAAAGAGCACAACACACTCCAGCTGCGGCTCAGGACCAAAGCGAGAGCAGGGAACTGAGCTGCAACTGGCCGGGAAAGGGAGAGCAGAAACAGGGAGAACAGGAAGGTTAGGAAACGCACACGGGGTTAGATGGGAGGAAGCACTCGCTGCACTGTGTCAGCGGCGGTCGAGCCATTAGTCGGCATGGACAGCAGCATCGGGCTCCACCTTCTGAGGGAGCCGTGTCTTAGCAAGCTGATATAACCGACGGAGAAACTGAACGATTTTTTGGGGGGGATGTCACGCTAAATCTGTCAGTTGTTTTGTCCAGCCTGTCGGACGGCTTGAACCGCTCCGCCAACAGCCTGACAGGTAGGACAGAAAAGGGAAAAGAAAAGGGATGGTAATCACCATTACAGCACCGCGGGAAAAAAAAAAAAGAGGGGCGCGAAAATGATTTGCCTACGATTAGGCGGTAATTACTGTGTGCACTGGCGGGGCGAAAGGGAAGCGCGTTTTTAAGGCAATATAAACGGGGCCGTGTCTCACAGATGGCACAGACATCCACGCCGGCGAGTCCCTGACTGAGAAATCCGGGCAAATGCCCACACCCCCCCCCCCCCCCCCCCGGAAGACGACCAGAAGGTGGAGCGTGAAGCAGATGTGCCTGGAAGTACATTTATTTAGCTTCACCATGACGTTTAAAAAAAAAAAAAAAAGTAGTGTGATAACGTATGCGGTTGTTCTCTTTTTTAATACCATTACATATTTCACTACAGCGAATCAAGCACTTTTTCCCCCCGCAAGGGTAAAATTACCATGGCTCCTGGGACCTGAGCAAACAACCTTCAGGTCAAGCGCAGAAGTCGAGGGGTTACAGATGCTGGCTCGGACTCCACACACGCAGAGCCTAGCGGTCTTTAACTGGCCTCTTTAATCTCCACTTTGCAGTGGCCCAGTAGCGCCCACTAAGAGCATTCTGGGATATCCTGAGATAATACGAAAGGGCGCGTACATAAGGATGACCTCGCGTCACTCTCGAGAGCCCGGTGTGCGGGAAACGTCCGCAAGGACCTGAAGGGGCCTTCGAATCTGGTATGGGAGTTAGCGGGGGCGGTGACAGCGCCGATGGGCGATAACACCACGGCGGCGCTGCCGACGCAAGAGGAACAGAGAGCGATCTCTGCACAACAGATGAACACGGAGGAAAAACAGTTCTGGTATGAAGACTGCGCTTGGCGACGGTCCCTGTGCGGATCGGACCGGGAGTGGGTCGCGAGCATCCACCCGCGTCTGTCGCCGCCCGTCTGGCCGCAGCCTGTCTGCGTACGGTCCTTATGCAGCATGTCAGGGTCGGCGTCTGGTCCGAGGGGGACGACAGGAAGTCTTTCAGTGACACACGTCCTTTGGATGACGGACATGGCGCCCTCGTCGTTTATACGATGGCCTGAAAATGCGTGCTTTGATTTAGTTGAACTTGGTCGTGTTTGGGAATCAACATGCTCCAAGCCTCAGACATGCTTCCATGTGCTGCTCTACACTGGTTAGCTTCTTAAAAAGACAACCAAACCACAGAGGGCAGTCGCAGTGGTCCAATGGCGGCAGCTTGTGTTAGGGTCTCTGGACCAATGGGGTTAAGGGGGCGGGGAAGACAGAGCATGCTGTCCCTACAGGGGTTACCGCGGGAGGGAGAATGAGAGAAGGGAGACCCTCGCTGGCATCCTCCTTAATAACTTCCTGAGCACAGAGAAGAGTGGGCGGGACTTAGCATAACAGTGGGTGGGGCCAACATATTCAGAGAACCTGCAACCTGTTTTTAAATGCGGGGTAAATATGATTATTTTGAAACAGTCTACAACACCTTTTACAGACCAGAGAAAACCTCCAGTGACCATCCTCAGAGCAGGCCAAGGAATTATTATTACATTATTTCTATATATATATACACAATAAATAAAGCCATACAAGTAGAAATGAATGACATACATTTGTCATGCAAAGGACCTTGTACTTACTAGTGTGCTGTTCGTATTCCTGGGAAAGTCAGGCGTAACGGATGGGTGCAGAAGTGCATGATGGGAACTGGGAACGTACTGCCGGGGCAGCTGGTACACGTCATGGGGAAAATAGGGCTGGAGGGGGGGGGAACCCGGGGGGAGAGGCAAACTTAAATGGCAAAAAAATAAATCAGAATAAATAAATGGAAAAAAAAAAAACAGAATTGGCAGCGTCATGGAAACAACCAGCACTACAATGGAACACTGTCGGGGGGGCTGAGATGGCAGATGGTGAAATTAAGAGAATTTAGGGAGAGGTTTACACCAAAACCAGGATGGGGGTGACGATGAGGGCTTGGGGGGTATTTGGTCCAGTGTTCCCCAAACCAGGATGTGCCGAAACCAGTCGCTGAGCTGCAGAACATCTAAACTACCACATCACCATGATTTTGCACCTAATTTTCTTGCTAAGACACTCTGATAGTAGTTTTGAATTAAAGTGCACCTGCACCTGAACTGATTATACAGATCTCTTTTTCATGTGTTCGTTTTTGACAGGCTAGATTATTTTTAATTATTTTATCAGTCAGAAAGCAATGAATGGAGGCCCCTTTATTGAAAGCAGGGAGACGGCAGAATAAAAACAAGCCCCCACCCTACCCTGTTGTAGAAGGGATGCTGAGGGCCAGTCAGGCCGCTGTACTGGCTGCTGTGGGGCTGGGGGGGCAGGCCGGGGGCAGGCAATGTGGGGGAGCAGCTTGGAAGGTGCTGGCCGAAGGCGGCCGGCGCGCGCTGGGGGGGGGTGTCCTGGAGGGGCAGCGTGGGATAGGTCACGCCGCCGAGATGCATCTGCTCTCTTGCTGCCCGCACGTCTGGGGGGGGGAGAAGAAGTGAAAAGATGCTCACACTAGATACGGATTATTTTTAAACTGGATGGACCTCTAGCACAGAGCTGGGTGCTAAAGTTAACAAGGTCTAGAAGCAAAGGACTTTCTTTTAGGTTAATAGATGCTATCAGAGGTTTGTGTGGCTCAGCAGGTTAAGACTCTGTGCCTGTCACCGGAAGGTTGTCGGTTTGAATCCCGTGTTCAACAGAGCAGCTGCATTCCTGCTGGTCTTTAACCCTACGAAAAATGCCCCAGGGCTGTCGGACGGACAGCGGAGCTTATGTTCAGACTGTATATATACGTGTAGAAATGTGCATAATTTCCCTAAATTACAAGCGATAGCAGAGATAAAAACTAAATGCATCCGGAGCACAAGAGTTTGTGTGTCCTGCCACAGAAGACGCTATAGGACAGATGTTTAAGCGGACAAGTCAGGAGCCATTCAAGCTCTATTTCTAGCATATAAATGCTGCTTCCTCCTTACAAGAAAGAGTCACGCCTTTACAGATACGACCTTATTATCAAGATGACAACACAAGACTGAACAACTATTACCGAAAGAGGTCTGTGTTCACTGAAAGGCAGAAGGTAATTCACTCCTACAGGCTAAAATTATTACAGACATGGCAGATTAGAACCAGAGTAAAATTACAGACCATGTTTCGATTGATCTCATCTGAATAGTTTTGGTTCCACCCTCATGTTGCCACAGATATCTAATAATATTGGTAGCTAATAATACTGAGAGCTGATGAAGAGTGAGGGGCCATCCCACGGCCCAGAGGACGGCCGTTTGTCTGGCCGCGGAGATAAAGAAACCAGAGCGTGTTCCGCAACGCAAAATGGAGAAGTGAGGTGGGTCACCAAGACCCAAAAAAACAGGAGAGAAAGAACGAGTGGGGGTGGAGGGGGGGGGGGCACAGATTCTCCAGGCTAGCGAGCTGCCCACGTCGCGAGGGAACACCTCTCCGTCTGGCCACAGGTGGGCGCTGTCTGCGGCAGTGTGAAAGTGGACCCAAAACGTTTTGGGGGTCCCGACGACATTTTGCAGCATCCAGCCAGGTGGCTATATGTTTACATTGCTGGGGAGGAGGGGAGGGGGGGCTGACGTGACACAATGGAACCGCAGGTCACATTCCTGTCAGCGGAGGCAGCGGTGAGGGACAATGGCGTCCCTGTTAGTGGCCTAACTGTCACACTGAGCACATGATGACCTAAAATAGCACCACAGCAGGGGGGGGGGGATGTGTAAAGTACTGAGCATTTTATGGGTGTGAATTGCTCCCTCGTTAGGGTCTTTCCCCGCGTTCACCCGCAATGATCTCCCGGAGCTTGGGGTCCAGGTTGACCGTGCAGGGCAGGAACGTCTCCACGTCGTGGGCCGTCAGCAGGGGGGTCCGCGATGACAGGAAGACCTCGAAGCTGCGGACGTCTCCGTCGATCTCCAGCAGCGGCTCCACGTCTTTGGTCGTCGGGATGTTTTTGGAGATCCTGACGAGGGCCGAGAGGAGCGGTGAGACTCGGACCCGGATGGAGTCTCAGCACCCCAGCAGACCGTGACTCCTATCTGACCAGTCATGGCCTCTTATGTTAGGTTACAAACCAGAAACATTGTCATGTGTGTTTGGTTCATATCAGAAGCAGGACTTTGAAGCCCTTACTCCACACACACTGCCCTGGTGCCCCCCCCACCCCCCCACCCCAAGTATTATATACTAACCATATAAATAAATATGTATTTGATGTACAGAAAAAAATAAAAGTAATTAAAGCTGACCTCCTCGAACAGTGGAGAGGGCACACAGCCTAACGTCACGTTTGGGATTTTCCGGTCCAGAGAGTAAAAGTTCAGACCAAGATTTTGTTTCAACTAACCAGTTCACTATACAGAATCACAGTCAGTCAGAGTACTCAACTGGTTGGCTGAAACAAAATCTTAGTCTGGACTTTTACTTTCTAGACCTGAAATATCCACCTCTGATGACTGGTGACTTCGCTGTCCCAGTGTGGAGTTTCTGGCTGGAGTTACTAGTACCATTTGGTTTTGCACATCGTGCCACCTATAGTCCACCTTGCAGCGTCACAACATCTGACATCAAGGGGGAAAAGTCTCATTACGTGAAAATCTATTCTTAAAACGAGCTGTGTTGATTATCAATATAAATGTGTTACATATTTGCAGTGTCACTTGGTAATCATTTAAGACGCTGGGACGTCACAGGCAGCTTAAGGCCTTTCCCACTTGCCCGTCGTCTACCTTGACCAGCAGGGGGAGGATTCCCAACCAGTGCCACACTCTGTGCTCCATCCTGCCCCCCCAAGCCTAAGGTGCAACAGGGGTTCGAGACGCCGAAATTGCCGGCGGCATGAACAGCTCAGCTGATCTGTCACATAGGAGGAGGATTAGATCTCCGACCCGAAAGCCCCAACACTGATCCTGCGGGGGGGGGCACACCCAGGGCTCTGCGCTGCATGGGGACGGCCAATCACGAGACACGCTGTGAGAAGAGAAGTGGGGGTGGGGTGTGATTCGCTCCTTTCCCGCAAAGCTGCGTGCGAAGACAGCTGAGGAACCCCCCCACTCCCCCGGAGAGCTGTTGGTTATTTGGACATTTGCCAACTCGAGGAGGGGGGGGGGGGGCAGTGACACTAGCCGCTCGTGAGAGCCGACTTCCCCCTGACACAGGAAGTGCCGCTCATTTCACCATCAGCCTCCTGGCCAACGGCCTTCTCCTTTTTAGGAATCGCAACGCCTGCCTGTTTTTTTGGGTGCTAAAGACGCACAGGTGGCTCCTTCCTCGCCCGGCCATCGATAGCACTCTCTCTCTCTCTCTTTTTTGTTGTTCTTAAAAAACGCCGCCAAGTGAAAGGTTTAGCCCGCGTCCGCGGCGGGAGCCGGTGCCGGCTCGCTGGACGCCATGTTTAGCCTGGCCCGCAAACGTGGGAGAGTGGCCCCTTCCAAGAACAACACGGCAGCTGCTGGCCACGCCGGCCAATGGCCCCCTCCCGGCTACCGGGACGCCGCCGTCCGGTTCCGCCGTCCAGATTCGCGACAGACTGATCCATCAGTCGCGTCTGCCTGCGCTCTGGCCAGCCGTCAGGTATCTCTGCCTTCCTTCGGACGACTGGAAGCTTCCAGATCCCACCCGCCAGCACGACATTTGCTCGGAGACCGAACGACGTCGCCTCGAGTGAAAACAAACCCAAACAAACAGACACATGGGTCCGAATCTCCCGGCTTGTGTTTGGATCGCGGTTTTCTCCCCAAATCATACTCCGCCGTTCCCCCCTGTACCTTTCGCCAAAACTCCTATGGTTCGAATGCCGGGCCTCTTAGAAACCTGTCGCAGCGTCCCAACTGATTAAGACACTCCTCAAGAGCCAGCATTCGTGGGAGACGGCCTCCAGATCCAGTAATCAAAATCGATTACTTCTGGCTGGTTCTCTGTTCACGTGCCCGTCCTCCTCAAACACAGGCATTCAGATCCAATATCTAATGGTACGAACCTGGAAGTAGCTTCCGGGTCTGAATGCGACAGTAGCTGCCTTTTACCAGTGAAGAGGGGGATGGATCATAAGGAAGTTGGCAGCCATCTTGAACAATAAAACCATTGATCTGCCTTGTTACCACAAAGGGCAGTAAAATGTCTAAATCCTGCAGGGCAGTTTAGTCCCCTGCCACCCACTCTGAGTGCTGATCTTAGTGCTACTCGGGCCCAAAAAAAACAAGAGAATTAACCGGCTCCGTTCCTCTTGTTCTGAACTCCTACTTACTGCAGCTGAGAGGGGTGGGGGGGGGGGGGGGGCTGGCATACAATCTTCCCTCTCTTCTCCTGCCACCAGGGCTCCAAATTCCCAGCGTGGGCCGCGGCGACCCGCCCCGGTGCGGCCCAAAGAACGGCCCCGCAGAGGCTGAGAAATGCACTCGCATATTTATCAGGAGGAATCTGTGAAGAGGACCAGTGTTCCTGACATGGCCGACAACAATGGCCATCAGAATCCTCAGTGGACGTCACGCAGCATTCCAGCGACGGACGGACAGCCTTTCCCAACGGACGGGAGCAGGAGCCCCAGGATCATCCGGCCCCAACCCGGTCCGGATCGTCATCGCTGCGTTTTTCCCACTCAGGAGACTTCCAGAACATGACCTTCGGGGGGCGGGGGGGAACTTTCAGCGAGGCTCTACGATGACAACTGACTCCCCGCACTGGAATTTCTGTCCAGATGCGTCAAGCCTCAGCTTCATAACCTAACTGCCTTTCAGACGGAGACCGGCCTTCAACGCAGAATGTCTATTGTTGATCCTGATGAATGAACTGATAATGTAGGAAGGCCCTCAGACTCCAGAACCTTAACTGGACCTTCACAGAACACACACACACACACACACACCTTTGTGGGGACTCTCCATTCATTTCTTCAGTCATAACCCTAATGTCAGCAATGACGACAATTGACGACTTTTGGTATTTTTCATTTCTTGATTGCAGCTACACAATGAAAATTTGGATGCCACAATGTAATACATACATAACTCACAAACACACAAACACACGCAGGCACTTCTTGTTTGACTTAAGTAATCTGCTCAAATCGCCATACCATTTAATACACCTTATAGCAAAAACCATGCAAGCCAAAAATATACTAGTACTACGTACTAAAGACGACTTATTAAAAAAATGAAAAGATAAAGTGGTAATTTACTTATGGACGTATGTCACGTTTCTGTATTAGCGCTTCCGTAAACTATATTTCTTGCATTCATTTGGATTTACTTTATGTCCGTTTTATGCAAGTCGAGAGCTGCCTGTATAAAAATACATCTCTGGGGTGAACCTGCAGGTCCGTGCGGGATAATCTGACATCTTTTACACGCTGCAAACTCCATGTTTTTGATCTGACTGCAGAATACAGCCAGTGTTGGGGATTTCAGGTCCAGAAACGACAAATCCAACAAAGATTTTGTTTCTGCAAACCAGTTGAGCATAAAGAGCCACAGTCACGCAGCTACAGTGCTCGACGGCATTGTCTTGCCACAGAAGTGCGTCGCTTGCCAATCTGGAGAACCGTACCCACCGACGTGGTGGGGCCCAGGATCACAGGAACCGACGAGGGACTGTCCTTCCGAAACGGATCCCACGGGAAACGCCGGGAAACAGCGTGTCAGCACTCCTGTCCCAAACGGGCCGCGGAAGGATGGGCAGGGTGCAGAATAAGCGGATATTGTGGGCTTAATTACACAGGGAGCAGGGTATATATTTGGAGCGGGTCCCAATTAAGCGAGAGAGCCTCCTCTGCTCTGGTGTTCGTCTCGGGGAAGCTGGAAAAGGCTCATTAAAACGCATGGAACAGCACACAGAATAAAGAGGACTCACAAAGGCCACTACACTGTGACTAACCAGTCTTTATTTTATTCCTAGTGCACAAATCCGCCGCCATAAGACGAGGGATGATCTCCATGTCTGTCAGACATTTTCGCAGCTCATATCTTTTTTCTGTCTTGGTTTCTAGGGGCCTGACTGAAAAGGATGTTTCCATCACCCTTCGCATCCCAGAATGCACCACCCAGGAGAGTGGTCTGGCTTGGACTCTGCAAAACAGAGGTGCGTCATTCACAGGTCTGTGAGATCAGAGGGCAGGGGTGTGGCGTGTCTGCTGGGTCGGACAGAGGGGCCCATTCAGACGTGTTCCTCACGCACAACGGATCCTGGACAGCATGGCATATATTTATGGACTGTACCAATGCTGATCCGCTAAAGGGGGGGACAAACGTAGCCTTGAATAACCTCACCTTCTGTGAAACTGGGGTTCACAAACAAAATGTTAGCCGGGCTCCATGGCAATAAACAAATTATGACAGTTATAATTCATTTCTAATAAACTTTATTTTCAAAACACCTTAACAACTTAGCATGATATCCCCAAAATTCAGAATAAAGGACACAAAGCAGAGGTCCCTCTCAGGATTGGAACTGGGAGCCTTAACTGTCCTGCCACCTGCTGGGCAGGTAGAGATTACCGCTAACTTTTCAAATTCCTTTTTATTATTCCTCTGCTGAAATTGAGCTGAAACAACAGCCACGTGAAGAAAGGAAGATGGGTCTGTATCTCTGGACACCTCCCAGGTTTATTTACAGGACGTCACATGACAATATCGGCGGGGGGGGGCAGGGGGGGCAGAAAAAGCGACAATGTGTCAGTCACTCACAGCTACAAAAAAAAGTTCAAAAAGTACTAAAAAATAATATAAAAATGGCTCTTTCTTCATAAGTAGTATTTAGCTGGTTATTAGGATTCAACATAAAAGAAATCGCACAAATGTGCTTTACAAAATGCTTTTATCTCAACACGTAATTGCAAGCAAATTACAATAATTGGCCCAATTAAAGTAATCCTGAATGAACAGTATGTCATCTTAATGTTTCAGTACTTGGGAGAAGAGGCTTTCTAATTATCTGAAATCGCTTTCCATGTGTTCATTTCAAATGTCATCAGTTAAAACTTTTAACAGTTGGGAGAGTGGCGGGTAAAAGCCCACGTTCGCGCGGATCACTGAGAAGCAATTGTTCAAAAATGAATGCAGGACTTGAAGGCTCTGACAGAGGCCTTTGTACGCTGGGCCCGCGAATTAAAAAGGGAACGTCGGCGGTAATTGTTCACGGCAAAGCAGACGGCGGACTGGCGGGCCACGTCGGGGAATTAGGAGCCTGAAATTCGGAGCGGACAGGCAGAGCGAGCCACCTGCATCGAGGGGGAATGGAATTCCGCGGATGGAGCTAAACCGCAAGGTTGCAATTCCCCTATATGAAGAAAGGGGGAGCTCTAACAGGACCCCCCCCCCCAAATTCAGACCGGCTCAGAGAAAGCACCTTTCGACCCCGTGGAGGCCGGTGGCCGTGAGTGAAGATGGGGACAGGTCCAGGTCCAGGGGGCTCGGCCCACACCGGTTCCGCTGGGTTCCTGGCAGCGACGTGGCGCCAGATGTCAGACCAGAACCAGCTCAATGGGCCGCACTTCCTGCTAAGGTCAGGATTTGAGTTCCATAAATAAATTCCCCCAAGGACCGGAGCAGACCAAAACGTACCCGGAGTTAGCCGGAACGCTTTTTTTCTACGGGTAACTATCTTCTAAACTGTTTTCGTTCGCTCCTCCTGGTTTGGTTTCTTCACACTGTCACACATTCTGACGTCACACAATCTATTTTTGGTTGGAAACCAAAATACAGTAATAACAATAACCCCCCCCCCATAAAAAAGGACATTTCCCTTCGGTTTGGCCCTATTAATCCTCCAAGAGGACAGAAAGAAAAGGCTGAATCTTTGTTTTTTGTAGTATTATCTGGCAATTAGTCCAGTTTTGTTTGAAAATTAAGTAAAAAATAAATATCATGATCAAATTTATAAACAAAGGTCTGCATTAAGCACACACACAGCCTTCTGGGAGTCCACTGCGAGGCGGCTTTCAAGCGGACCAAACTAGCTCCAGGCTGGAGGTTTAAATCGCCGTTTTCTCAGCAGGGTGAGCGAGGCAAATCCCTTGACTTCCCGTACCCCCCCCCCTTTCGCTTCGGCTAGTGGCTCCGGGACACACTGCCGCCATTGTTTTTAAAAGGTGCTTCTCGGCACTTTCTGCTGGCCGGCACAGCCTGGCCACGGCGTTAATCAGAAGAAGCTGATGTTATTAGCAGATTATGCACATTCTGCGGAAGATTAGAACACAGGAGCCTCACTGGGGACGCGACCCTGATGGGAGGGTGGGTCGAATGTTTGGGTGCGTGGGGAACACCATGATGAACGAATCAAACTCAAAATTTAAACCGGACACAAAACCAGACACAGGGGAAAATAAACAACAACAACAACAACAACAACAATGTTACTGTTATGATCGTTATTATTATTATGGATTAAATGGCCTCTCGCTTGCTTTCCGGTAACCCAAAACGCAGAACCAGCGAGCAGGGCCCCAGCCACCCAGAAACTTCTCTCTGGTCAGGCACAGCGGCCCGTGACCAAAACACAAAGTGACAGCTGACCTCCGAGGGCCTGAGTCATGCTTCCTACCTGAACCCGTGCTCCGTGGCCCCGATCGCAGCGGTTACACACTGACTCCCCCCTCGGACTGAATGAGGACCTTGGGGGGGCTATCTGCCCAGTTTCTCGTCAAGCCACGACCGAGATGGGTGCTGTGACTCAGTCTTCTATAAAAAGCGCAGGCGAGATGCATGATTCACAGACCCCCATCCCCCCACCCCCCACGGCAACTTCACAAAAAAAAAAAAAAGAGCAGCAAAGGGCCCCTACAGTCTTATCTAGGCAATGTCTCCAAAGATATGGCTTCCTGATTGGGCAAAAAAAATATATAAAATGTGCCGCTAAGTTGACATGCGACTGCGCTCTGGGCGGATACGTCGTCCAGGTCCGACGCTCAATTTTACCCAGGTAACATTTATTAATTCAATTAATTAAAAAGGTGCTGTCTGATCCCCTCGTACACCCTCCCTGCTGCACCCCAGGGCTTGGACCCTCGTACACCCTCCCTGCTACACCCCAGGGCTCGGACCCTCGTACACCCTCCCTGCTACACCTCAGGGCTCGGACCCTCGTACACCCTCCCTGCTACACCTCAGGGCTCGGACCCTCGTACACCCTCCCTGCTACATCCCAGGGCTCGGACCTTGCGTGGCCTGACACAGCCCTGCTGATATTTCAGACTTCTGGGTATCTGACGATCGAACATCCGCTAACATGCAGCAATCTTTAATGGCGACCCGTCGGCACCCAAGAGCGAGGGGACGCCATGGCCCGGCCTAGCGGATCGGTGAATGCTGTGGCAAAGTGAGCGCCTTTAAACATCTTTGTCACCTGTCTACCACACTGCGGAATGATATCAGCCCGACTCCGTTCCTGTTACAGATGTGCAATTTAAATGTGAGGTTACACAACGTCCACACGCACAGAACGTGCTTCAGATACAGTCTCTCCAAGGCGATGAGCCAGTGCTCAGTCTGCGCATAGAAAATCCCCTACTGCCACCTGCTGGACACTCATAGTCATACCGCTCTTTACTCAAGTTGACGGCAAGTATGAATCATCAGTAGCGTTTACACATCGATCACAATAAGACACAGTGTAACAAGTGCATGACTACATGAGGATTTAGGCCCACAGTACTTAACTAGGGTAGCATGTAGCATAACGCTAACAGACTTGGACCAACAACCTTGAGATGGGGAGCGTAAGAGGGAACATAATTCTTACCAAGGGATCAACCTTATTATGACATGAATGACATGTCCTGAAACCAGTGAGTGACAGAGAAAGGGCATGCCAATGGCCAATCAGCTTTCAGTTGGGGCCCCGCCCCTGTATATACCCTTGCTCAAGCACAAATGTATTTCCACAGTATGGGCTGTGTTACTAAACCACTGTAAATAAAAACGGGACCCCCCTGAGCCCTCCTCCCCCCCACTCCACAGACCTCTCATAGATGGTCTTGAGAGTCACTTTGTCGGGCACCCCTTCAGTTTCCTCCAGGAAGAGGATGAGCCAGGAGGTGCGGTAGGGCCACTCCTCAGTCAGGTTGATCCAGGACGCCAGGCGGTCCCAGCTGAAGGTGATCTGATTGGCCCTCAGCAGTCGACCTGGTTTTTTGTAACAGGCATAGAGGCCACATCGGGGCCAGAGAAAATTCAACAGGTTAGCATTAGCATGCTACAACAGGCATGGCGATCATGGGAATCTGACACGTTCACGGGAATGCTCGCTATAACCTTGACGCAGGTGAACTCAACCTCAGTTTCCTTTGCAAATTTCTATCTGTATCAATGAACTTATGGGTGCAAGCAATGGAAGGCTGGATATCGGTCAGGGAAAGTCACGTCGGGGCACCTGTGACGGACACGATGTTGATGAGCCTCCTGATGGTCTGGGGGCTGATGTCACTGAACCAGTCCTCTGTCACCAGCAGCTTGGTCAGGTCGAAGGACATCTGCCTGGTAAGACTTCTCTGAATCTGCCTCCGACGGTAGGTGTCCTGCGGCAAGACGAAGCTCAGGGGGCCTGCAAGCGGGCCTTGCGTAGCTCTCTCCATGTACCCTGTTCCCTGGAAATACAGAAAAACATCTCGCCACTGAGATTAGGCGGGAGAGACGGTTGAGGCCTCGTCTTTCCTTGTTTATATGCTTGCTTTTCTTGTTTGTTTTTTTTTTTTTGTAGAACCGGTTGGAAGGATGGATTCGAGACCTGAGGAGAAGGGGCGAAGAGCAGGAGGAAACAAGGAACTTGCCGGAATAAGGGGAGCGGGGAAGAGGGGGAGCCGGCGGGATGAATAAATCACGCCGCAAACAAATGGCGCCTGCGAGAGAGGGGCAGAGACACTTAGCCTCCCGCAAGCAGCCCTGGCGCCATCGTTTTGTCAGAGCGACCCACTGCCGCTGCACCCTGTCATTAGCCAATGGCGTCGCAGTGGGAAGGATAAACAGACATTAAATCAATTAGAGCCACTGCCCGCGACCCACAGACGGGCGCCCACCTCACCCGGCAAGTGGGCACATGTGTGCCAACAACTCTCCCCCCCCTACAGCCGATGTCAACAAACTGATCGATGGCCTGAAACAGCTGGATGGGGGTCCAGCTACTGTGACATCACAAAATTCTTTTGGCCCCTGGCTGGGGCTCCATGACTTCCAGGGGTGGGGCTTCAGGATCCTTACCCTGAGGCTTGGTGCCGCCCTGCTGCCCAGTCGGCTGTGTTGGGACACCTTCCTGTCTGCCATGTCATGGCCGTCTGCAGGAAGAGAGACACCCATACATCATGAGCCCTCCCCGACCAAAACAAACTTGCGATACACACCCTACATACAACGGATATTTGGATGACATAACTTAACCACACCACTTACGATCCATCCCTGATCATATGTCAACACGCTGTATACCAATTATTCGGCACATAAATGGATATAGGCTCCGGTTTTATATACAATAATGAAGAATGATAATCTCTGCACAAGGGAATAGTCTTAAGAGGAGGAGATACTTTATTAATTGCTTCTCTTTTTGCATACCCCATCTTTCTCTCCATGTGACACATATAGAGGCGAGTGTAAGCTTGGGGGGGGCACAGGGTCAACTAGCATACAGCACCCCCTGGAGCTGGGGGTTAAGGGCCGTGCTCAGGGGCCCACAGACATGTGACTGTTCTGCCGAGGCTTGAACCAGCAACCTTCTCACAAGACATGGAGGCTTAGCTCACTGGGCCACATACCGCCCCGGACCAGGGCGTATAAAATCACAGCTAAGTATTAAAATGAACTATTACTTTGTATTAAAGCAGCCGCAGCTCTGAAGCAAGCAGATAATTCTCTGACAGACCTGATTATGACCATAAACAGCTAATTTCTGTCACATGATCATATCATATCCAAAACTAGATGGTTCCCAGTTGAGTGTGTCACACTGGGCCCAGGAGGGGGCCGGCGAGACAAGCGGGCAGGTTACCATCCGGGCTGGTGACGTCGCCACTAAGGGGCGCCGTGGCGCACAGCCGACGACACCCTCCGAGGCCGCGGCTGTTGAGGAAGACGGGCAGGTGCACGATGTTGCGCATGTAGTCGTGCCCGTTGATGTTGGAGTCACGCAGCACGCTGTTCAGGTTCTGGTTGATGGCCTTGATGATGATGTGCGGGTCGCTGGCAAAGATGGCGATGAAGGGGCCTTTGGAGAACAGCACCCTCACCTAGACGGAAAAACACCATTTCCCATCATCCTCCCATCATCCTCCCATCATCCTCTTTGGCACAGTTTGATGACAAAATTTAGCATTTGATGCTAAATTAATCAATGGCACTACTGTGAAAAACAGGAGAGCAAGAGAGTTATTCATGTTTAGAATTTTATTCAGTTATGTCTTAAATTATATAAACACACATCCCATAATTTTAAACCTGTCAAGGCTTTTTTTTAAGGTTGACAGATATCGGGCCTTTAAATTGCATTACTTTCATGAAGCTAACTTTTTAAAGTAGGTTCCTACAGTCCACTTTTACTGTACATTTAATAGATGTAAACTAACATAGAACAGCTTACTATAAATCATACACTTACAATAAAGAGGAATGTACACAGAGGTCACCCCCAGCACATTTTCCGCAGTCACACACGGGAGGAATTCACATTGTGTGCTGCAACCTGTTGGGATTTTCCAGGACGCTACGAGATGCTGGGTCACTGTGAAATGTCACATGGGCAATCCCTGCCCCAGTTAGTGCCCGTTTGCATGCCAAGGAGCCCCTAATGCCCCATGGCCTGTCGCCACAAAACTCGCTCACAGTTTTTGAAAGAAAAAAAAAATCTTTCCACTGGGATTCATACATTTAATCCGCGGCGCACAAATATCATCCCCCCCCCAAAGTCCTGGAAAAACATTTGGTTTTCCGAAAAAATGTAATTTGCAGGGTTCTATCGGATCCCCCGAAACGGACCTCAGAATCGGAGCAGGAAGCAGCAAACAGTCCTCACCAAACAGTCATTCATTAGCTGTACTTTGCAGGATGGAGGATTTTATTAGTCCCAGAAGGGTCTGCCAATTCACGGGGATTATCCCCCCCCCCCCCACACCACCCCACCACATAGCATTTGGCTGGAGGAAAATTCTATTACTCTCAACGAGGAAAAGAATTTGAGCCCCTGGAGGGCTTACAGATCAACTCCAAAAACTACTGTGTACAGTTTGTACCCCAGGAGATCCATTCCTGGGGGGGGGGGGGGGGGGGGGGGGGGGGGGGGGGGGGGGGGGGGGGGGTGGTTGCAACAGCCTAAAGTCCATTCTGCAAAGTCATACCCTGAGGGGGCCCTGAATTTTAATAACTAATAAGTTCCCATGTGGGTTTCTGGGAAACGATCTGAGAGGATTTCCCTGGTGCTGCACTCTTTCAGGACAGCGGGGGTCAAAATACCCTGTTTTTTCTTTTTACTTTCCAGGTCACTAAACATTTTAGCTCCTAAAAACTGATATTTTACAATTTAAAAAAGTCTCAGATGGATAGCAATCATAAGACATAATGACAAACTTGGCTGTGTTTGGTTTGTGCAGCAGCTGAAGATCACTCTGGATTTGGTTAAGGTCAACAGCGCCGCCCTGTTGGTAGAGTGACCAGATCCCACCCTTACCGTGTCTAGCATCTGGAGGACCTTGTCCTGCTCGCAGGAGTCGAGCCCGTCGATGATCACGACCAGGCGCGTCTGGTTCTGGGTGAAACAGTCGATGGTCTTCGCCATCTTAGCCATCAGCTCAACTTCACACTTTAGGACCTGTGAGGGCAGACCGCGGCGCAAGTGAGATGACGGGGTCCTTAAACGACAGAGCACCTCTGAGCTCAAAAAAATAAAATAAATAAAAATGAATAAAATGCCCAAGATGCCAAAAACACAACACATAATCTCAAAGACTAGGAAGCAATGCTTCATACGGATGGCTTTGATGTGTAAAGACCACACACACGCGCACGCACCTTCATGAAGCCCTCGCTCTTCAGCTTCTGCATCCTGTTAGCGGCGCTGTGGAGCCGCCTGCGCTGGGAGTGCAGCACCGAATCCAGCACCTGCCACCACGTGCAGCAGTTCAGCAGCAGGCCCAGGCCCACAGCACACGCCATGGCAATCAGCGCCGCGTTCACCGGCAGGTTCTGCTCGTCCACCTTGAAGACGGCCAACAGGGTCAAGCCCGTGATCAGGCAGCCCAAGACGAAGATGAAGATGACGAAGGAGGGCACGCAGCAAGTCTTCTTCCACCTCTTCCCTGAGAGACCAACAAAAAAACGAAGAAAACAACTTACACCTCTAGGATCTGACTCCCTAATAGACATCTCATCACGATTTCCAATCTATTAGAATCTATTTCTATGATGCTATACATATTGATGATGAAATAGATTAGACTCCCATTTCTGCATGCCAGCCGCAGTACAATGCAGAGGATTCTCTGGCACACCTTGCGTCTCGTCCGTCTTGAAGACCCGGAAGAGCCTGGTGGCCATGAAGCCAAACTCCCTCTCGCAGGCGTCAGACAGGGTGGCGATCATCTCCGCCATGGAAGTCTCCCCGCCCACGCTGGAGAGCCGGTTGTAGTCGGTGAACAAGAACCTGTTACAGTAAAATGAGAAAAAGCTTGAGGCGACGAGGGGTGACAATGCAGGACCGGGAACTCAGAGACCCCACAGGTTAATGCCGTTTAGAATTAGAATTATAAGGAGCGTCACTGATCCCAGAGGGATGATCTTTATCGATCTCAATTGATTTAGGTTTTAATAATTTTAATGGGAAAACTTCAATGCTACTTTGAATGGAAGGAAGGTCTGATACAAAAAGCCACACGACTAAAGAGACGCGAATTCTCTTGATTCATGGTGAACCTGCAAGCTTTCAGCCCAGGTCACGACCCCCTCCCCCTGCCGGTACCTGACGGGCAGGGCACGGGTGGTCTGCTCTGGCAGCTCGGGGGGGTTGACGAACATCAGCTTGAGCAGCAGCTCCAGGTAGCCGACATGCCGGGCCAGGCGTGTGCTCAACACCCAGGTCCAGCTGTCACCTCCTCTGCGGCCACCAATATAAACCACCACTAGGGGGAGACAGAGGGGCCAGGACGAACTCTGAATCATTTGGCGCTGGGCCATGTTCTTCTCAAGGCAGAACTAGACAGTAACTAATTTACAGTAAGGGGTTTAAGTGTAATTTATTCACATTTAAAAAGGGGGCCCAAAAGAAACTGCACACCTGTGTCATTCAGCAACTATTTTAGGATTTAGGACGGGGCTCTGACTTCACATGTTCATGATGTCACAGGTTCGAGAGCTGCTGCAGCAGTCTCGATAAGTTAATAAACAAGTCAGCATTAAATGTTTAAATGTCTAATGTCTCTGTGGATGAAAATGCAGAGGCTGCGCTATTGTATGATCATAAACAGCTCAACAACCACGTAATTCATCTATTTATTTTTATAGAAATACTGCCCTCTAGTGGTAGATTTCTTATTTACATTTAAATTAATTTTAGAGCTAAAACCCATTTACCTCGTGGTTTATACATAACAGAGAAGTTTAGTTAGCTTGTGTTTGAGGACAAAGGGGCAGTAGAAGCTACTTATTGCACTTAGCATTATGGTTACATAACGTCCCCAAGTGGCGCTTCTTAGATCTGATGAGCGTAACTTTTGACCTCCACAGGTTGCGGTTACCGCAGGTCAGTGTTTCCCAAGCTGGTCCTCGGGGACCCAGAGACTGTCCACGTTTTTGCTCCCTCCCACTCCCTGCCAGACAGTCCACATTTTTGCTCCCTCACAGCAGTAGTCAGCTGGGAGAGAGCAAAAACATGGGTCATCTGTGGATCAGAGGACCGGACCGGGAAACGCTGCTACAGATCCGGTGCCAGCCGACTCCTGAGCGGTGCCCCTACCGAAAAAGATGTAGAGCAAGGCGAGCAGGGTAAGGGCCACAGCCACGGCCAGACGGGGGTCGACGGTGAAGCCAAGCACCAGGGCCACGGTGCCACACAGCAGGAGCGTCAGGGTCACCACAAGCCAGGAGAACTGGAAGAGGGGCTCCACCTGCTGCCCGGAGAACATCTTCATCTCGTCTGCAGAGAGATCTGGCTGAGACTCGCAGGCTTAGCCTTCAGCGGCGAAGCTGTTTTAAGAGCTACAGCTGAAGTGCACACTGTTAGCTCAGCGGGCGGAAACCCTGCAGGCCTCGGCAGGTACGCTTTAATTACCGCCCGCTCTGTGCTGCAGAACCCCAGGCGACCCGACAGCCAGCTTCACCTTAATTACCCCAAAAAGCACACAGGAGCTGATCTGTAATGCTATAGGGACTAAGCAGAAGAACCCAGTATCCCCGAAATAAACTTCTTTCGTCTTTAAAGGTCAGAGGCTCCATTTCTGATGGGACACAAGCAGACTTCAGCTCCCAAATATTCTCGTCTATATGCCCGTGGCAGTATTTCTGAGAACCGTTACGGCAGCGTCCGCCCAAGGCAGTGAAGTAAGCGACTGCTTAGAGCCCAGCGGCCACCAGGGGGCCCCCCATCTGATCAGGCTATCAGAACGGGAAAGAAGAACACGAAAGACTACTAATTAATTGAATTAACTTAGGACCCAGAAAAGGGGTGGGCCGGCCCTACCTGTAGGGCTACAAATCCACCTCCCCGCTTGGGGACTGCCAGGAGAGAGGGGGTGGTGGTGGGGGGTAGTGGGAGCTGTACCTTCTAACTTCTTGAGCAGGAAGGACTTGCCACTGCCCCACTGGGCGTAGAGGCCGACGCAGACGGGCGGCTGCATGGTGGGCTCGCTCAGGATGTCCGCCAGCGCGCTGCTGTACAGGTCGTAGCCCAACATGTCACCGTCTGACTCCGTGGGGGACAGATGTTCTGCGGGGGGAGGGGTGGGGACAGGGTCTCAGCAAGCGGGACACCAGCCCCACCACCAAAACCAAAACACACACGCTGGTCTTCTGAGATCTAAAGGGAAGGCTCCACATAACCATACTGCCCCCAAATATGTATCCAGCATTGATATTCATTTAGGAGACACTTATCTAAAGCATGTATTTTTGAGGAAGCAGGATCAGCCGGAACCTGGAGCAATTAGGGGTTAAGGGCCTCACTCAGGGGCCCAATGCTGACATCACTCTGCCAAACCTGGGACTTGAACCAGCAACTTTCTGGTGACAGACACAGCCTCAATACCGCCTTATATACAGAGGAATAATTGGCAGGTCATGCTTAAGGTCCCAGGTGTTGGTCTGTTCTAGTTTAGGGACTCATTGAAACTTGTTTTGAGATGTTTCAACAGTCAAGGACCTACATACATAGTCTAAGTTAGTCCTAGTCAATAGGTATATGAGGTGGATAGAAAATACATGATTTCATTAAATATGATGGGCAGAGTCTGGCTTGTTTGGGCCATCTTCAGTACCGCAGGTCTAGCCCTGGTCTTCCACAAAACACCTCCACCCCACCCGAAGAGGGTTTCCAAACAGGAGGTGCTCACTGGCTCCGAAGATCTGAGTCAGGATGCTCTTCTGGTGGCTGCAGTCGATGTTGTAAGGGGTCTCGCCAGCTTTGTTCGGCCGGTACAGCAGTCGGCCATCTTTGGGGTTCCTCATGAGCAGCTCGGCCAGCTTGCGGCTCCGCCCCCGGATGGCGATGTGAAGGGGCGTGTCCCCCTTCTGCAGCATCAAGCAAAGGCTGAGTGGCCAGCGACTGCGGTTCACATGAATAAATTAGGAGACGGCTCCGTCCCCCCCCACCTTATCCATCGCCGAGACCTTGGCCCCCTTATCCAGCAGCAGCTCCACGATCTCGATGTTCCTCATTTTGGTGGCCTTGATCAGCGGGGTCTCCGCATCCTGAACGGAGCGGACCGAAAGGTCACGCGGGTCACGTGACCCAAAGATGGCCACCAACAGTCAACCCTACAACCGCACCCCAGGCATGTAGCACGTGGGGTTCAAAGCTAAGGGGTCGGATTTTGAAGGCGTTAGCGTTTGAAGCGTTAGCGTGGGGCTAGCTGGCGTCAAGCAGAGGTCTACAAAAGGTCGAGAGTCCAGAGCCTACCTTAGTGCAGGTCTCCGTGTCGGGGTTGCACTGCAGAATGTCCCGTACCATGGTAGTGTTACCCTTTTCCACAGCCCAGTATAGGGCCGTCTTGTTGTCCTAAATCAGAGGCCACAAGTAGGTTGGAAGGATAAGGCAGCTTACAGTAATGTTAACTAATCTATAGCCTATAATTAAGTTCTTATTTGGCTTTTAAAATGGGACACAAGACAAACTGAAGACGTATAATGAAGTGGGAGGAAGGGTCCTGCATGTCCGAGGAGAACAGGGCCCCCTACCTGCCCCTGGATGTCGATGTCGGCGTATTTGTGCAGAAGGGCCCTGACGATCTCCACGTGGCCCCCTCTGACGGCCCCAATAAGTACCGTGTCGCCGCTCTGGAATGTGCAGAGAAACACAGAGCGTGTTGGGGGTGGGCACCGACCAGCCGTCATGGAGCCTCACGGCCAACACTAACCCAAACATGTACATTGCCACCACAAAAATGCAGATGATTTTTAGACTTTGTCAGCTGACGCGGAGACAGGAGCGGGCAGTTGAGATATCGCTGAAGCGGTACAGCCAGCAGAGACCGGTTTTTGAGGGTAGTGGAGTTTCTGGCCACTCAGAACTTGGCCTTGTCGTCAAGGTGACCAGCCAGAAGTGAGGGCTTCCTTTATCGTAAGGCAGGGGAGATTATAGGTTTTTTTTGGGGGGGGGGCACATAAAAGGAGCCATAATTCATACAGTGGCCAATCTTATCAGCCAATGATAGGCTTTGAATTGGTGAATGACAGGGGAGGGGATTGTGGGGACCAATCAGCTTTCAGCTGGGGTCAGTGACCTCGCCCTTGTTACAGAGATTTCTTCCCTCTTCCAGCTATAGGTTGCGCCTGATAATGCCGAGGTCCGAACGGCCCACCCTGTCGGGGACATTGACGTAAGCGCCGGCTTCCAGCAGGTCTCGCACGATCTCGGTGTGGCCGTCCTTGGAGCTGATCATGAGCGCCGTGTTGCCGTCCTTGTCCTTCATGTTGACATTGGGATTCCTCTTCAGAAGCTCCTTCACCACGTCCGTGTAGCCGCCCCGAACCGCCACGATCAGCGCCGTCATGGAGTTCTGAGGGCAGCACGGACCAGACCACCGTCACAGAAGAACTCTGGGCATTGGGTTAAGTACCACCTTACCCAAGGGGACAAGAGCTGAGCCCTCCTTGGAATTATTAAATGCTGGCTTGTCTGATTCTAGGATTTGACCCGGGGGGGGCTGAAGAAATAATGCTATAGGGGGTGTCCCCCACGATAAAGTTTGTTGACTGAGGGTACCGCAAATACCAGAGAAATTGCTAAATGGTTTTACTAAAATTATTTATGAGGGGGGTTGATACACGCCTAAGTAAGGTCTAGAACCGCCTATGCTATAGACTTATCCACAGCATGGCTGAATCAGAGCGATCAGGAACGTGGTGAGGTTTAGCGGGCCACATACCGCCCCCTCCTGGTCGACGTCAGCTCCGTTCTCCAGCAGGTGCATGACGCAGTCAAAGTGGCCCTTTCTGGCGGCCCAGATAAGCGGCGTGGTGCCATACTGGGACGGGCAGGAAGGACAAGAAGCAGGTCAGTACTGGCCGAACATGAAACACCCTTTCCGTAAGTGTCAGCCGGAGTGTGATCCAGCTGCCTCCCCCTCCCCCCCCCCCATCATGTGGCATTTCTTCAGCAGCTGCCAGCATGTTCTTCCTCAGACCAAGACTTCATGTCTGGGATTCACTGGCTGAAATTTGCAAATGCGCTGTCAGTCCGTCCATGTGAGATGCCAGCTCACCCGTTCACCATGGCTTCTGCGGTATCAAATGTACTAAATACCAATGAGAAATGCCTACCCAGTAGCTTAAGGCACACAGTCACTGGCCATACCCCTATCGCCAACCACAACACCCCCTACCCCCCCGGCTGGCCCCCTGGCCACGCCCACCTTGTCAGAGCAGTTGACTTTGGCTTCGTGCCGGAGCAGGAGATGGACGACTTCGTGATGGCCCCGTCCAGCCGCCCAAATGATGGGGTAGACGCTGTACTGCTGAGTGCAGAATGCAAGTCACACCCGAGGTCATCCCTCAAACTCACAGACCACTTCATGCTAACTGAATCTGTGCAGGAGGTGCGACCCAACCTGTCCGGTGATGTTGGGGCTGGCCCCCTTCTCCAGTAGCAGGCGAGAAGCCTCTAGGCGTCCTTTATAAGCAGACCACATGAGGGCGCTCCAACCCCCCTGGACATTACAAAAACAAAAAGATTAAGATTCCCCTGCAGTCTTGTGATTAAGATTTTGAAAACTGGATAATACATTTAAACAAAATCCCAGAAATAAAGTTTGTTATAGTACAGATGCGTGTTAGAAGACCAAACACTGAAAACAAGACTCTTTTGAACATCCCATAAGTGTGTGACCTATATGTCCAGTCATTATTCAGAAGTACAGAGTTTCGAGCCGACGCGCAGTGGAGAGACGCAGGATGCATCGTTAACGTATCAGTAAACTAATATTTGCTAAAAAATCAATGTATCGGCTTCAGTCTGATGTGTCAGTCTTAGTCATTTTTGCTGCCTGATATTTAGACTTTCGTCAACATTCAAAGTTAGCAGCACCAAAGCGAAAGACGTAACTGCCTAAATTGTATTAGATGGGCCATCATCTTCCTTAGGGAAGGACGGGGGATTTTGCTGAGTCATTCTCCATTTAGAGGCCTCAAAGTTCTGGCCGTTTTATACAGTCCATGACATGTTCAGGGACTCATTATTATATTATATAGTTCATTATTAAATATGGCTGCAGATCTATCTTTCGTCTTGCACATTGACTAAGAAGTAATGCAACATCAATCTGCTAATCCGTTATCGTCAAAATTTCCAGATCGGTGCACCGCTAGGTATCCTGATTGGCCCGTTTCAGAGGCCAGGAAAAAACCTTTAAAAGCAGCCAGGTTAGTAACACGCAGGCAGTGCGCTTCCCGACCTGCCATGACCCCCCCGAATCCCGCAGACAGCCTGGCACCGGGGAGGCTTACGCACAGCGCAGCACGGTAAACCTTATGGGAGCTGGTTAGCATACGTGAGCAGGGTTGACGAGATTAAACAATGCAGAGCGTTCGCCGCTATCCGAGCGGGGCAGCCATTCCGCCCAGGATGAGCCGGAAGACGTTATCAAACGCAGAACGTCATGGTAACATGGATGCCACTCGCCACACAAAGGAGGGAAGACGTCCTGACGTCTTTATGACTAAAAATGTACTATGTGTGAGTGACCTGTAGCTATAGAGCAGAATGAAGGCTGTAATTAGCTCTTATTCAGCTACAGAGAAACAAACCCCACCCACGAAGAGGTCCAGATTGTGTACCTGGATTTGACCGGACTTTCAGATGACCAGAAATTCCACAAACTGCGAGATGGACAGACTTGGAAAACCACTGATTGCAGGCCAGACTGCCAACACACCAACCAGGGAACCACCAAGCTTAGCCCGACTGCCAAAACATCACCCCACCCCACCCCAGCTCACCATGTCTCTCTGCTCCAGGTTGGCTTTGTGCTCCAGAAGCTCCCTCACCACCTCCACGTGACCCTCCTTGGCAGCGGAGATCAGCGCCGTCCACCCGTCCTGTCCGGGAGAGGGCGTCAATGCGGGCGAGAGCACATAGCGGTTACTCCCATTACAATCCCCCCCCGGCTGGACTTTGGAGGTACAGTCCAAGATTTCACGTACCAGCTGGTCGTACCAGGTACTCATGTAAAACAGGGGGAGCCCAAGAACAAAGTGAGAATGTGCCAAGGTCTGCTCTGCTTGACCCAAGCTGGTGTTCTGACAGGGTGACGGCATGTTGCTGTTTTACAGACTCACAGTAATTTTCTTAAACACAGGTATGGTCTCGCCTCTAGCTACTCATTAGAAAGTGTGCTATTCATCATCGGGTGTATGACCTCAGACAGGCTCCTCTAAGCTTTTCGGAGTGACTGACTGTGCCTTGCTGATGTGGGATGAATGACCAATGGTGCAAGACTTGTCCGAACCAACTAACAGATCAACTGTTACATCTAGATACACACATTTGGCCTCTGTGCCTGTGATCAGACGGTCGCTGGTTTGAGGCCCGGCCTCAGCAGAATAGTCACACATTGAGTAAGGCCCTTAACCCCTCCCCCCAGCTCCATGGGGGCCGCTACAGGTGGCTGCCCTTCACTGTCAAGCTTGCTCTCACCCACGTGTGTCATGGAGAGCAAGATGGGACAGTGAAAAAATAGAACTTCCCCATAGGGATCAATAAAAGTATCATTATATTTCATTTAATTTATTTAACAGATGCTTTTATTCAAATAAGAGAAAGCAAAGTCAGACAGGCCCAGATCCAATTGAGTTAAGGGCCTTGCTCTATGGCCCAATGGTGACATTACTCTCCCAATTGTGGGCTTTGAACCAACAACCTTCTGATTGCAGGAACAGCACCCTACTTGCCGAGGCACACCAGATATACAACTGGGCAGAATAATCACAAGAACTTCGACTGAGAAGTACACAGCAATAGATCAGCATCTAAACGTCATATTTGTCAGTGAGGAGGTTCACATACAACATCATCCAGGTTGATGTTGGCTCCTCTGCTGATGAGCTCCTGTACAATCTGCAGACTGCCCTGCTCTGATGCCAACATCAACGCCGTCTGTCCACTCTGTGGACGGACAGGGAAATTAAAAAGAAAAGAAAAAAAACTCTACAGGCACATTCTCGGGACAATAACTCACCAGGACAAACATAAGCATGACAGTATACAGCTTCCCAGAATCTACATTTCAGTTAGCAAGCAGGAAATGTTGTTGGGGAGATAGATCTAGGGCAGCCAGCTCAATGGGTCAGTATGCGAAGAAATTTTTCAAAGCTCGTCGGACTAATTTTCATCCAGCAACAGCCCAAGTGAGACTCTCTTCTCTGTACTGGGAAAGGCAGCAGCCATTAAAGGGGGGGGGGGGGCACCTACATCACTTCTGCTGTCTACTTCTTTGAACTTCTCCAGGTGGGTCACGATAGCCAGCAAGTTCTCCTCCTCCACATAGCTGAAGTAGTTCTGGATGGCCGTCGTGGTCATCTTCAAGGAGGAGGCAGCGTCCATGGTCATTCCTTGATGTCATGGGGGGACATCAACAAATATTTTCAGCTACATGCTCAGATACGGACACCGGGACCATCCTCATATGAGACACAATTCACGGGCAGAGGGGAAAGAAAAACACTACAGGTTAATAACCCAAAATCAAAAAATATTTACATTTACGTAAATGTAATTTAATGTAAATGTAAAAAAATATTTCATGTACAAAAAGATTAACCTCACAGGCCCAAAGCAAGGAAAAGCTGATTTCAGGGACCTTTGCTACAAGGGGCATAAATATATCAAGGTGGATTAGCCCTGGCAGTTTGTGCGAGGAGATGCCAGCTACCCACCCCGGCACAAGTAATTTAATCACACTTACGAGGACCCAGAATCCACACAGCCCACTGCCAATGTTCCGCTGCATTCCGGCTGCGTGCTCAGTTGTGCCGAAAGCAGCCGGCTGGACCGTTGTGAAACGGCAACGTTATGCTGAGATGACTCGGGTTCGACGCAGAGGAGGGAGGTACAATGGGACACGGGCGAATAAAATTTAAGGAAATCCTTTTATCTGTGACCTAACCCCCATCCCATCCATGTTAGAGGGAAGAGCGTGAAGAAGCAGACGTGGGCCAGAACATCACCAGAGCAAAAGGCTGAGATGTTAAATCAAAACATCAGATCACAGCTGTAAGCGGTCAGGAAGATGACAGGACTGCTCTTCCTCGTAAGTGCAGCACAGGCGCACATGTCAGGGAGATTCACGCATTCCTCAAAGCTGAGAAGTCCAGACACCTCCAGGAAAGACAACCCCAATACATCCTTTGAAAACCTTCTCAACTCAAAAACAGTATGAAGAAATATTGCTTACATCATTCTCCAGCATCCGTGTATTAAAGTTATCCGTGTCTCAAAGTTTAAAATTGAATTAATTTCATCTGCTGAAAAAAAAAGATCAACTTAAAATTAAGTATTTGCTGTCCTTCCTGAGTTTCTAGAGCTCCCTGTTGCATTTCGTGCCAGCCACGAGACAATTTCAGGGTTATAAAGTAGGAAATAAGTGTAGGCCTATACATTCCTATCTATTCAGGGTAACAGTGATGCAGAGGACATTACAGAAAAGCAGACGGCACAAGGCGGATTCCATAGACGCACCGTGGCATAGGAAACACACGCGTTATTCATCCATATGCGAGGAGGCGTTCAGACACACCTGAACCGCATGTTTCAAACGGTGGGAGGACACCGAAACCACGACGGGGACAAATGCCAACGGTGTGGTAAGAGAGGCAGGGCAACCTCCAGCCCCGATCCACGGGGCCGCAAGATGGATTACAAAACCAATAAAGGAGAAGACCGAGATCTGAGTGCTTGGAAAATTACAGGAATAACCAAGAGCGTAAACTCCACAGGCTGTTTTATGAGTGGGCTCTAACTAGACCGAAAAGAGAATCTAAAAACACGAATCAGACAGTAAAATATTACAGCAATAAAAAATTCGCATTTTGAATTATAATCGAGTTGAAAGAACAACCTGAGTTAATACATTGGTGATTTAAAGCAAACAGAAATTAAAAAGCACAAGTATTTTTCTTAAATACAATACCATTCACCTGGGCTTACACTGACAGGGAGCACTGATTGCGATCAATAAATAAATCAATCAATAACGCTTAACCTCTACCCGCAAAAACAGTAATATAAGTAATATAAGATTCTACAACAAACAGTACACATAAACTGGCACACAAAAAAACGCTTACAGATAATATGGCATACGTCTGAAACAATGCAGAAATCTCTAATTAAGCATCCATCCATCTAATTAAGTTCCCAATAGTACTGGACAAATACAGCCCCTCGCATAGCTGGCTTACCTTCCGCGGGGTTCACGCGGGCTGAGTATTCAACAAATTCGCCAAATATGTCCCGATCCTACAAATGATGTAACTGCATGAAAAAAACGGTTCAGCCCCACAGCAAACGCACCTTGCCCTGTGCTTTCTGTCCGATCAATATGATCTGCAGCGGGAACTGACTTAAACAGGCATGGAAGTCTTTTCAGACAAGCCGACGCACTCAAAGCGGTATTCAGGATCCTATAATTAAAACAAGACATTTCTAGGATCATCAAGAGACCACGCTGTATTCACAGCTCGGATAACATTTATTAGTACATGGACTGTTTTGCTGTCTCCGTCCTTGTTTATGATATAAACATAATGTTTGTCCCCCAACATAATGACACGATATTATTTGGAGGGGCTCAGACTTCATATCTGGAAATACCACACATCAAAAAGGCCTTACACGTCTTCCAAATGGAAAGATGACCCTGACAATTTTAGAACAGACGTGGCGTCTAAATATACACAAGTCGGCTCAATTAGACCAAGTCATGAGATGTGAAACCGGTTTTCCACAAACGGAGTCTGGCTACAGCAAAAGGCGAGAGATAGACACAAAAACATGGGATTAAAAAAAATCCCCAAAATCCACTATACAGAAAAAAGTGATAACGCTGGTTTCTCATTTTACTTCTGCGCGTATTATTATTATTATTTTGCCTGGGAGGTGTGCACGGTAATACTTCTGAACGCGCATTGAAAATAAGAAAAAATACATGAAATTCCAGACTGACATTTAATCTGTAAAGAGCATCATGTGATCGGTGTTAATCTCAAAGTAAATAAGATTACTCTCCACGCGTGACTCTCTGCTGAATCTTTAATTGAGCTGTTGTCAATGTTCACCCAACTTTAATTTCTCGTTGCATGAGCAGGATAATAGTTAACTGCCGGCAACTATTCACGGCACGGTGACATTACCAGTATAACAGTCATTTTAAACAGCATGTTTACTGAGTGATATAAGATGAATAGCAACGATCCATGATCTGATTCCTAAAGCACAAACAGCTGCGCTTGCATACAGATAACTTTCTATTTACGTTATAATATACAACCCAACAAGGACACTGGCGTTTAACTGGACAGAGTTAATGTTAGGTATATTTAGAGTGGTCATCGGGTAATTTGCCATAAAAGCATGTTTTTCAATGCAAATACACAGAAGAATGTATAAGAAGTTTTAAATGACTCGCAAACATACCTTTATAGAAATTCAGTCAGTTGAAATGAGTTGTTAAGGTCTTTTCTCCCTACTGTTGCTTTGACACCTATTCGGGCCGTCGGCAATGCAATGACTGTCCGGTTCACCCGACGAGGACCATTTTTTGCACAGGGTACATTTAGTCTCCGTTTCCGTGCTTTCGGCGTTTTTCTTAAACCAGCGTCCTACCTCTCCGCCCCCGTTTCAGATACATCGCACCGTCTCGCCACCCGCCCCCTACAGCCTAATGTGTGACGTGAAATACTTTTGCGCGTTTGTTTTCTTATGCAGTTTATTAATAATTTCATCTCTAGCCTCGTCAATTTACGTATGAAATGTCCCTTGAAAGTCGAACATTATCATTTAAATAAATAATAGCGTTTTCTCCTTCACATTTCTAATGGTTTAAGAAATACGGATATTAAGGATGCTTAATGCGCTTATTATCATTATCATTATCATTATTTATTTATTATTATTGTTGATGTTATTGTTAATAGTTGTTTAATATGCGAATAAGTGTAACATAAGCGTATCCGTGCAATGATTCTTACATGACTTTTATTAAAGCACTTAATTATACAGTAGGCTATACAGCAGTTAGAGCGGTGTTCTGACAAAACGTCGTACTTTAACAAAACATCCTACCGTAGTGCTAATCGATAGCCCTAACCCTAACTCTTACCCTAACCCCCCAAAAACCCCTAAAACCCTTACCTTAACCCTAACCCCTAAAACCTAACCCTAATCCCAAAACGGTGGAACTGCACATGCGCAGAAAGGCTCGATAGCACGTCTCGATAGGTAGAATGTTTTGTCAGAACACCGGTACTGCATATGGTGGTAACTGCTTGTTCGTTTAACTCAGTTTGATGAAGCATACCATTTTAAATTGTCTTCTAATGACAGGCTTGATTACTTAGATCAAATTTTCTATACTGTAGCGTAGGATTTATGGAGAGGTAGTTTGTCTGACATTAGCACGTGGTAACCGCGGTGTAGCATATTTCCAGACAAAGTATCCATACGAAATCAATCAATCAATCGATCAATCTATCCATAGGTCCATCGCGGAATAGCTTTCCCAGTACTGAATCACAGGGGGGTGACTGGGCCCCACCCTCTCACACATCATCTCACACATGGACTACAGGAGGAGAAAATGTCAACTCCACAAACACAGTACAGGTGGGATTTGAACTTATAACCTTGGAGGTGTGAGGCTACCCACTGCACCTCCCATACTGACAATAAAAACCGAAAAAAAAAAAAGAAAAAAAAACGTCACTACAACGTTAACCTGTTGATACACCAGAAAATAGGCCACATTTGGGTTCAAATTACTGTGTTGAATTTCACTTTTACCTTCACCAAAGTTAAATTAATAATAATAATAATAATAATAATAATAATAATAATAATAAATCCAGTTGCGAAAAGTAAATAAGCATCATACTCAGTGTTTCTATTTTAAAAATCAGTCGTTGTGATTCAGGTTGACATCACCTCGGAAAAACACCAAGCACCGTCTCCAAAATGGCACAGGACCGGACACAGAGGCAGCTTAAATGACCGTAATGATGGGTAACAAGCTTTGCTCATTGTCACACTGGATCAAAGGTGAACTTTACTGGATGCCACAACTACGTCATCCAAGTGTGGCGCGCTCTCTACAGGGCAGTGCCAACGCCATCTACAGGGACACCCCGTGACAACCCGTGTCCTGCAATACAATATTTGTTCTTGAAACTCAAGACGCTTCAGCGTTTCATATACAGGTTTCCCCCACTATCCGAAAGTAAAGCGTTATTATGAAACAATTCATAAGACGAAATGGCATACGGCCAGTACTAGCCCACCATTAATTTATATGGGATTTTTTTGGGCGTACCCACACCCAAAAAAACCCCGAAAAAATCATAAAGAAATAATACATATAACCTAAAATTTACATCATATAGTAAAACATGCGATTATCTGGTAAATACACAACCTATATAAAATTTAAATAACGGAAGCACAGCGTAATTTTACTTGAACCAATACAGTAATACGTCGCTTAACGACGGATACATTATGAGAAACTCATCGTTCGGCGATTTCGTCGTTGCGAGAGTATCATAGAGTGAGTGTAATTACACAACCCTAGATTGTACAGCCTACTACACACCTAGGCCATATAGTGTAGCCTAAATAACGATAAAAATGCATGTAGTACATACATAAACATGTAACATACTTGGTTATCATCTTCATCATCAAGTATTATGTACTGTAGATAATCGTATGTGCTATAATTTCATAAGACTGCCAGCACAGTAGGTTTGTTTAAACCAGCATCACCACAGCGTTAGTAAAGCGTTCAGCTATGACATCACGATCGCTAGGGTGCGCGCGACTGTAAAGCGTTCAGCTATGACTTCACGATCGCTAGGGGGCGCACGTCTGTACACGGGACTTCCTGGACATGGAGGAAATCAGATTCAGTTTTCCGAAGGGATTGGAGATAGACGATGAGGTGACCAACAGAGACCTGAGCTAATATCTGCCAGCTATTCTGGAAACACAGATAAATGTTTGAGCAATTTCAGGCAGTCAACAACACAATAACACAACAACCCGTTAAACTGTTCATTTGTAATGTTGTCATTTGTGTATCTGAGACGTACACCCAGTGTTTTAAATGCATGTTTGAAGATTGCAAAAAAAAGACCCTGACGCACAAACGTATTATATATTTTTTAATCAGCTGGTTTTAATCAGTACTGGCAAGAAAAACACACACCGAAAAAATGTCATCCAGGATACAAATGAGACATTTAGACAAAAAAGGTAGAAATGCTCCTAGAACAGCCACTAGAATGTTAGAAACGAAGCCTTATTATCTTAAAAAGTATAAAACGTGATTTAATGCATCACAGTGTTCACAAAAGTGACAATTTCCGGAGCAAGCACACCATCACCACAACCGGTTCAATTAAACTGTAATTAAAATTTGTCACTTGATTAAAAAAATAATAAATGTATTCCAAAAAACAACCAAAAAAAGGAACAGGTTTTGTTTTGTTTTTTTAAAATAAAAAAAAAATTAAAAAACAGTCATGTGACTCCGGGGAAGGCAAATTTGGTTTTTCTTAGTTGTGTTGCCAGACTCATAAACCCATGTAAATTAGGACCCTTTCCCCAGTGAGGTCGTGTAGAGATGCAGGCCCCCATTGTGCAATAGCTAAGGGTTTCAAAAGCATTTCCAGTGTACACATCCCCATTGGCTGCCACACTGAATTGCGCACCTCCACAGATCATTACAGAACCAGCCCTCCACCCATCAACCAAGCATCACCGTCTAGAATAATCGATTATCAGAAAAACTGCTTTTTGATTTCGAAAAATGAGCAGAAACAGAATGGAGGCTGTTAACGAATCGCTTTGGAGGGGGGGGGGGATGGACCTTTGCAGCTGCATGCTTAGGTGTGGGGGTGTCTTTGCTGTCTCCCTTGGAAATGGGGGAGACTGGCAGGAGGAAATGAGCTAATCACCGTGACAAAACTTTGAACTCCCCAGCAAACATGCGACACGTTTGTGACAGTGGGTGGTGTGGTGCCCTCTAATGGAGGGTGTGCACATTGCAACATGGGGAAGAATCCAGAAATGGGAGGCTACACTGAGCAAATGAAATCAGCGGCACGGTGCAGAGTTCCGACCACAGTGGTTCCTCACAAAAACAGGCTCTGTGGGACGGATCCGTTTTCAGGTCTCCAATGGCTGTGTGGGAAAGCTTCCAAACAGGGATAAGGCTTTTAGCCAGATAATATGGCAAATTCCAAGCACAGGTAGCAGAGACCTGGTTGAAACACACGCTACACATCAGAGAGGTCATTCCTGGCGTGACCACAGGTGTTTTTACAAGACAATGCACACAAGTGAGCATGAGCTTGAACAGATACGGACAAAACTGAATTACTATTTATAAGCGTAGTACATACAGACAGAGCTACGTACAGACACATGGAGAAGAATAAGGTCTTATTCTCAAAGCACAAACATATTGCCGGGTCTATTTTGTTTATATAACACTGTACTCTTGCTAAAAACTGCAAGTAGTTTTTGTCCAACCTCTTTGTAAGGGTTAAAAATAGCATATGTCTTCACAAAACAGAGGGTCTAAGTTCCAGGGTGATGCTCATCTTTCCTTTAATCACGACCTTCAAAGAGGGTCGTCTCCAGAGCAGACAAAACCCAGACAACGTAAGACCCCAACAACGTAAGACCGCGACCCCTTTCCGTTTGGCACTTCGGCACTTGCATTGATCTGCTGGTTTGTGTCACATGGTCCGACCCCAACAGCCGACTGGCCCACATAATAACTCAAAGCTTTCTTCTTACGTTTTTTTGGCCCTGGCGTGGGGGATTCAGGTCTTTGATTCTTCGTGGGCGATCCTTAGTATTGGACTTTGCACATGTTGAACGTTCAGTGTGCTTAAAGACCTGAACAGCTGGGAACCCTGTCTTGATCTGAAGAACATGGTTCCAAAGAAATGTCAGCTCTGTGTTTCCTGGACTCAGCCTCTGTTCAGATTGACCATAAAAACCTCGAAATGTTGCTCTGCATAACAAAACTATATTTCCTCATCACAGGACTCACTGCAGACAAATAGAACTTGTGGCCTTAGTGAATGGATGCATAACATCCTGAGAACATTAACATAGTGTTACACTGTGCTGTGGAGTGTGACATTACATGGACAGGAAGGATTTGTATAATTTTTTAAAACACTTTAAACATTAAATCATTTAACACAGTGGCCAGCAAATTATACACAAATAGTAAACAGTATGTTCATTCAGGGCGAAGACTGACTGCCCAAAATTTATGACAGTGAAATAGAATCGCCATCCGTCCTTCATCAAATTCTTCCTGCATGCTTCCAGACAGGCCTGTTCAAGATACATTAATGGCAGGATGTCGATTGGCAGTCGAGAAAAGTCACCTCGAAACTGGTTACCTATTTGTAGTGTAGGTACACTGCTGTGTGTTAATTATGCATGAGAAATGCTAAACGGCATCTGTTGATTTCATATAAATACTATTCATTTAAAAATAAATTACTAAATGTGAAGTACAAAAATGTGAGCCTATTTCTCCAAAATAATTAACCTCTAATTCATTTTTAACAGCTTTCTAATACCTTACATCCTATTAAATTCAACGCTTTGTAACATGTCTAAAATGAGATGGGGAATTGCTCAGATCGATGGCCAATACAGAGTGGACACCCCCACATCAGAGTCCTGCACCGGGTCGGGTACCCGCAGATAGTTGCTGAAACAGGCGGATTTTAATGTTCTGGAATTTTACGGGTGGGTAATTCATTACACACGGGCGGGTAGCAGGTCAATCAAAACAGTATTGTAGCCTGCAAAAATAACATATAAGCGAAAATATCTATGTATTAGACTCATGTACAAATTGTCATCATCACAGCGTGTTCAGTATGTCGGGGGACCTTATGGTGCTTTCAATTATTTCTCTCCAAGTCGGCACTCGGATGAAAACGTCATGAAACGTCACGAAAAACGCCACTTCCCGTCGTAAACACGCCTCTTTTATGACGTTGATGTCTGACAAGATTTTGTTGTCTGAGTTGCCCCTGTGACGTAATTTCAACATGGCGGCTTACACACTCCACAGTAATTCTATTTGATAAATCATTAAAAATGTTTATTTTGTTAAATTTATTAATAGTTATAAATGTAACTGCACATGTTTGATTTAGAGAATACCATATCATGACCGTAAACAGTATCCTATCATGCAATATCAGATTTTTACCAGACTTGTTAGTGTCTTTGGTTTGTTTGTAGTTTGTTTGCCTCTCGAAAAAAGAATATCGCTATGAATGTGCTAAAATATTTTATCAAGCTTTAAATGTGGTTTGATTAGTTCGTGTCTCTCAGAAAAAATAATCTCACTCCAAATCTGCTAAAATATAAAGCAACAACACACAGCAGCGTGTTCATGGAGGCAGCCATGTTTGCTCCGAGATGTGGTAGCTCGAACGGGAGATTGTCGGACGTGATGTCACTTAACTCGGAATTTCCAAGTTCCGAGAGAAAAACGAACGCACCATTAGATAACCGCCTCGACAAACATTCACATACACGTCTGAATCCTTGCTGGAGTGTGTCGTCGTGTTCACTCTTTCACGCTCGTCACAGTATGGATAGCTTAGATCTATCTGATTTGATTTTGTGTTAAACGGACTTTTTCGTTTCATTTCAAAACTCATGTAGGGCTAGCGCTTGTCGCGTTGAGAGGTGCATACAAAAAATAATTGTGTGTAATTTATCACGGGTACGGGCGGGTAACGGGCGGGTAATGGGTGGGATGTTAACGGGCCCAGGCGGGTGCGGATTTAACTTTGAAATAATCACGGGTGCACGGGTGGGTGTGGTGCTGTACTGTGCGGGTGCGGGTCTCCAAAAGTGGACCCGTGCAGGACTCTGCCCCACATAGTGCAATCGTGTAGTGCAATCCAGACACCCCCTCATGAAAGGATGGAGCCCTGTCCTCCGCTGACAACATCCACCAACAGCTTCCGGCCGCTTCGGAAAATTTTCTTTGGCAGAGTTGAACCTCCCATCAGCCGAGACCGGAAAGGCCAGCAAGGCGTGAGGTCATGGCCAGATACGTGCCAAAGAAATACACATGCCCGCCCCCCCCCCAAAAAAAAAAGAAATTTAAATGGATAAAGCAAAACCCATTACTAAATAGTGATTCGCTCCCTTTGACTTTCATGGTTCCCTGCTCCCCATATTACCTGACAGACAAAAAACACCCATGATCTGAAGAAAATTAAAAAACATCCAACGGTGGCTATCGGAGTGACCTATGGCTTAGCTGACGATATCGGCATCCGTCACGCTGCTGCATTTACGTCGTTCTCCTTCAAAGCCTCTCTGATGTGGAGAACAAATGTTCACGACGACTGAAACCCTCCAAATACAGTGATCTGCAGACAGGTCAGTACCCGAACCCCCCCCCCCCCCCTCACCACCACCGCCCCCTCTCCCCAAAACTGGCGTTCCCAAACTCTCTGTCTGAGAACCCACTGATTAGATAGAGGGTTTAAGGCAAACTTTAATTCTTAAATTTAAGAAAGTCTTTTAGTGTTTAGCGATTCCCCGGCATCCCAGTGTCTGGATTAGACCCTTCCGAAGTTCAGCGTTATTATTACTTGTTAAATTCGTGGCGCTTCATGCGCTCTGTCCCAGTGCTGTGCCGGGTTCGGGCCGAACGCTACGGCAGCTTTCCTCGATGGTATCGGAAGGTCGATCCTGGTTTTATAGCTTCTCTCTTCGACTCTCCTCTCTTCCGTCTTTTTTTTTTCCAATCTCTCCGTTTTGCGAGAGGAGTACCGCCCCCATACTGAGCATCCCGGCGTTCCGAAGGCTAGCAAGCCGATCAGTGGACGGACAGACGCCCCCCCCCCAGCCCCCAGCCTTCACTCCCCCTGCTGGGTGCCCTCCCCCCTACCCCAACCCCGCTTCATGTGGTCTTCAGCTTCTGGTTGCTGTTGCTGTCCATGGCGGGGTGGCTCCTGAGGGCCTCTGTCTGAGGTGGGGCGGGCCCCTCGGAAGTGTCCTTCGGCCGCAGGTGCCTGGGCTTCACTGGCATGGTGGCCACCAGGAGGAGGCATATGATGTGGATGCAGAAGTACCACGACCTATCACAATGAAAGGGAGGAGGGGCCTACAAGGTCAAACATTCCACTGACCAATGAGCTGCCTCTGCCAAAGCTGCAGGAAATTTGCATATTTATATAGAAGGCAGGTGCTCTAGGACTAAAAACCTTCAAACTCAGAATGACACCAAGGCCTCAAGCTAGCCAGCCTCTGATGTGGAGTTCAGTTTAATTAAGCCTGGTTCAAGAAAACCTCTGTTCAGTTTGAAATTGATACAGTACATTATCATGAAATGAGCCAATACAGTACAGTTATGAAACTTTAACAGTCAGGTTTTGGGCAGCAAAGACACCTCACTGACAACTCCCCACCACATGGCACCCAAAGACCAATGTACAAATGTAGCTGTTGAGTAAAGAAACATCACAGTGGTGCAATTACAGGGCTTTGACTCTAGGGGGCGTTCACATAGCTTTACTTATGCCATGCGTCTTTGGAATGACAGAAAAACATGGCTCTTGTTTTGCTCAAAGGACGCTGGCTGAGTAAAGTCAATTTTTATGTCAGGCAGTAAACAGCCCTTCTGAGGGCAGTAAATCTGCATCGTTATAGATCGGTAGCTGAGTTACTCAAATGGGAGAAGCACCACATTCCCACACCATAAATTAAAGATTCGGCTGGTGAGCAAGGCTATATAAGAAAAAGTTTGCCACTGCAGGGAAGGATTCTAGAATTTATTAAAGAGGAGCCATAATTCATACAGAGGGGCCATCTTCATTATTAGCCAATGATATGTTTTGAATCGGTGAGTGACAGAAGCCGGGCCAATCAGCTTTAAGCTGAGGCCAGTGCCCCTGTGGACCCGCCCCTCAATATGCCCCTCAGCAACGACTCCCACAAAACCTTCCTCCCCCCCCCCACCTCCACCCAGCATGGGGTCTTTCCTCACCTGTAGAATTTTAGCGAAGGGCTCACGGCCAGCAGGACAAAGGGCACCACCGTGTAGCATATTGCGATCTGTGTCGCTACCCACGTGATGATGTCATAGGCCAGCTTCAGCGAGGCGGACCCCTGGAAGTGCCGTCTCAGGTTGTGCCGCACCTGGAAAGGGGGCCCAGATAAATCAGGGGGAGTCACTTCAGCGCACTCGCAATGACAAACGACGAATTGTCTAATTTTGGCAGCTGTTAATGTGACACTCAGGGACAGTGAAAACATGTTATACCCAGATAAATCAGCTTCAGTAAGACATCAAAAACAGCACATTTCAAGGAATGCAAGTTGCTCAGGATAAAAATGTCTGATTAGCTCTGAAATATAATGCAGCTTCAGTTACGTCTGAACCTTCAGCTTCAGGTGGAAAGCCAGTCTGGGGTCAAGTCAAGGTGCGACAGGCCAAAAGGCAGCTCTTGTCACATGTCTGGACATTACGGGAGAGACAAGGATGGCATGGGTGCCCGCATGTCACTCGGGACCATCACGAAAACATACGGTCTGACCGATACACAAGGAAAACAGAAATGATAGATAGACAGACAGACATAAATAAATAAGCAAGCTTATTTTTAAATCAATCCATCCATTTTCCTTAGCCATGCACGGCGGAGGGGGTCCAGACCCTATCCCGGAAGGTTCATTTTTAAATAAGAAACTACCGCTGTAAGTTTCGAACACGTCTGATAACATGGCTGGGCTTGTCTAATTTAGTCATTTCAAAACATATTTCTTTATTGTTTCAATATCCAAGTATCCAATATCGGATATCTTAAGGGATTTTCCGGATCGTTTGCATTACTGTGACTCAGATGTCACGTCTGGCCGAGCCGGATGGCTTCTGGGACTTGATCACCACAGATCTGAGTAACGCAGGTGCCGATCTGATCCAAATCAAAGGCAGGCTCTTTTTAAACAGATGTGCGGCCTGAGAAATGAAGCATTCTTACAAAGGGTCTGCATCCCCTGTCCCCAAAGAACAGGGATATCTAAGGGCTGCAGCCATCTGAAGGTCCTGCTCTCAAACGGTTTTGAATCTTAAAATAAGCTTAATTTGCATAATTCTGACTTCCTGTAAAGCAGTGTTCGCAGATGCGCTGCATTCTTTGTATTAATCTTAATTTTTCTATTAATCTGTTTTCACCATTTTGAGTGTGTGATATTTCAGTCAGTAATGTGGTGATATTTTTAGCGCGTAACTTCGACAGGTAAGGAGCCACTCACGGCGCGCGCTGCCAGGGTCATTAGGATGCCCGTTAGGAAGGTGAGGTAGTATCCGGGATACACGCCGTGCCAAATGGCCGACAGCAGGAAGGTGGCCACCGTCGGGTTGTAGGGACAGCGCTCGTAACAAACCCTGTGGGGAGAGTGTATTCCCATTCGCATCAAGCCCCACATATAAAAAAAACATTTTTGCGTACACAGCCACTAACAAATCAGAAAGCAGCTTACATAACCGCTAACAAATCAGCAACCAGCTTACACAGCCACTAGCAAATCAGAAAGCAGCTTTCGTAACCGCTAACAAATCAGCAACCAGCTTACACAGCCACTAACAAATCAGCAACCAGCTTACACAGCCACTAACAAATCAGCAACCAGCTTACACAGCCACTAGCAAATCAGCAAACAGCTAAAGCAGTCAATGACAAATGAGTAGTTAGCACACAGAAACAGTGAGAACTGACATTTCACACACATGCATGAAATAATACGGGTGTGACCAGGGTCCCAGCAAGTGACCCTCACCCACAGCATGACGAAAGATACAAACCAAAAAGAAACATGTGCTACTAATCATTTATTTGATATATTTGGCATATGTCAGCAATGGTAAGAGTGCCAACAGCCTCACTGAACATTACTGAAATGCCAAACTAGAGCTACCTATTTCATTGACTCTCAGGTATGTCTGAAAAACAAACATATGACTTATTTACCTTTTGAGCCAAAGTGCCGTCTGGATATTCCAGTTGTCGAGGAACATCTTGAAGCTGGTGGCGAACTGGAAATCGGGGAGAGCACGTCTGTTAGCGCTGCTGTCGCGTGACGAGGCCTCATGCTTTACCTGCTAACCTCTATGTAACCTGCTAACCTCTATGTCCAGTATCCTCAGATTAGATATCAAGTCCCATCTGGGAGTGCCGTCCTTGGCGTAGCCATTAAACCCGAATCCAGCAGCGTTGTTGATGGCGTCAGCTGTCCGAGAACAAGGACCACAGAGTTACGGCATAGCAAGTTATCTGTGCTGGATCATGTTGTGTTAATGAGGACAACACCTCTAGGGATACGAGCAGCCAATAATAAGCGATACACAAATCTGTGTACCTTCACGTTAACTAGGATATCAGCATTTTTATAATAAGTAACTAAATTAATGCTTTTCAGAAACTAGCTTCCTTTTTTACTCCTCGAGAGAGAGGAGTATAAAATCACGAGATATCACGCTTCCGTAATTCATTTAGTGAATGATAGTGAGCATAATTACCTCAACTACTGCTTAAAGGCTGCTTTTGGGACAGTTCTCTTTACAGCCACATGGGGGCAGAAGATGACAAGAAAACTATCTTGGGTCTAGTCGCAAGACCTGAAAAGCAGCTGATTTTGCCATCAAATACTTTTCCTGCACAAATTAGTTAAGGAATTATTAATTAATCTGGTAAGCTATTTTGTTTTCTCAATCTATCAAATCTATCCTAAGGGTACTGTACAGTTGCCATCCCTGTTGCTGGCCAAATATTTGCACATTTTCCTGACAATTAACAGAACAGTTTGAAATGCAGAACTGGACTTGAGGCAATCCCCCATAATCCCCCAGCCACTGCACTGTGGGCTACTGGCTCCACTGACCCACATGCTTAGAGGGGCCTGTTGGTTCAATAACACTCTTTGCAAAGTAGGTGTCACTATAGAGCAATGCGCATAAGAGGACGTCAGTAGTCCAACCCCTCTGACAAAACGCGAGCTGATTAGCATTTGCTGGGCCTCTTTGCCGACAGACACCTAATGTAGCATGGGAGGATGG